CAATGGTTCTCAATTTTTTTTAGAATGGGGTCACATACTCAAGCAGGAAATGGAGGGTCAGAACAACCCCTGGACTTGTTTGCAAAATCTTGCCCCACCCCAAGTTAATAAAATGACAGGCTATTTCCCCAATTCTACTAGTGCCGTAATTGAAACATCTCGGTTTAAAGAAACCCTCTCTACAAACATTCTGTAATTTGTTAGACTAGGTTTTTAGATGTTTTTGTTTGTTTGTTTTTTCTTTTGTTCACTTGACCGAGGAAAGAGGACTTGGGGAATAGTTAAATCTCATCTGAACTTATCAAGCAGCAATTTGGAGAATCATTGGTACTCCAATACTCTTGAAGCAGTATGTGCTGTGCCTCTCAAGATAAGAACACTGCAGCTAATTCAAAGTCAACATGTTATCAAATTCCAATTTAGTCCTATGTGCACAACAATTTTTAGAACTGAATGGTGTGATTGTGGGGCCTAAAGATCTGATATTGTCTCAGTTTCATTTTCTCTACAACCTTGTATTAGCCTTAAACCTTTGCAAAGATACTAACCAACTATCCAATACTGAGCATCACCCTGCCTAGATGCCCATAGCAGTACTCCGAATCCTCAAGAATTTTTCTAAAGACAGTGAATTTCAATCCCAAAAGACAAGTCTAAATGCTCCGCACATGATAGAATGTTCTCAAATTATCATTTCTGAGGCAACACAGACACCTTGAGAAATTCCTTATGAATTCCAATTAAGGAATATACGATCAACATTTGTAGACTATGTCTCAAAACTTAGTACCAAACAGATTAATTTATGAGAAACCAAAATACACTCAGTGTAGGAATCACTTAGCTTTTTAGATTAGCTCTTTACAGAAATCAACAATTTACAGTTGTTACCAATCTGCCTCAACCAATTTTACTGACTGATGCACATTTTCAGTTTCCAAAAATAATCTAAACTGTATCAAATACAAATAAAGGAGTCATTCACCAAACTCCCTCCCACTGACCGTAGTAAAATCCAATCAAACCACTTGTTGAAATTTCACTTGTTGGATCTTATCCCAAAGGAGACTTTTCCTGAGATAACCTGTAACTTACTTTCAGTTTGTGTGTGTGCAAATATAGGGCTAAGAAAAGAAGGCAGATCAACATTTCTGGAGACAATATATCTACAGAGCAAATACAGAACAAGCTGTAGTTCTGCATCCCCCACACTGACCTACTAACATGCCTCAACCTTTACCCAAAGAGACCTCCTTCTTGACAGACAGATCAGTGTCTATATCCATTCAAAGTCTCTTTGTTAAAGTGGTCAACAAGGGGACCAATTAGCATCAAATGTGATGGTGGTTTTTCTGATATGGATTTTTGTCTACAGGGAACTGAATTGAGACCAAACTCATTTCATGAAAAACAACCTAGAATTGCCAGGTGATAACTTTTTTATTGAAATATTCATGTTTTCCCAGTAATTTTCATATAGGAATCCTAATGGTTAAAGAGCCTTAACATTCTTAAATCTCTTTACTCTTTATTCAAGTCATACAGATATGTTGCACTCTTTCAGAAATAAATATAATAAAAGTCTAATTACACCATTTGGGAAATATTTGGAACTGGGTATTTGTCATAGGAGAAGATGATAAAAAGAAGATTTGGCAACTGAGGATTTACTGTGTTTGACGGTTGTAGGGGTGGTGGGAAGGGAAGTGGGAGTCATGGGAGCCACTGGAAGAGTTAAGCAATTGGTGATGGGAGGTCAGATTCAGACAAAAACTCCATTGGGGAGAATATACATTTCTGTGTCATATATTCATCCAAAGTACCTCATGACAGCTTCTTGGATTAAAAGTACTCATCCTCAGGATTCAATAAATATATTTTCCTTTAAATTATAATTAAAATAAAAATATTTCTCCTATTACTTTCAGCTCCAGCACTAAAATAGGCAAAGAAAGTGCAATTTTCCCCAAATATTATAATAAAACTGAAGCAATACTACTTAAAAAAATCCTTTACTTCTGTAACCAGCACAACCACAAAAGGGCTTTTTGTGGAATACCAGAATTTTTTTATTATTCATTTACACAATAATTATGACAACGACACAGGTTAAGAACATAAGAACAGCCATACTGGGTCAGACCAAAAGTCCATCTAGCCCAGTATCCTGTCTTCCGACAGTGGCCAATGCCAGGTGCCACAGAGGGAATGAGCAGAACAGGTAATCATCAAGTGATCCATCCCCTGTCACCCATTCCCAGCTTCTGGCAGACAGAGGCTAGGGCAGGGCCGGCTCCAGGGTTTTGGCCGCCCCAAGCAGCCAAAACCAAAAAATAAAAAATAAAAAAATAAATAAAAAAAGCCGCAATCGCGATCTGCGGCGGCAATTCGGCGGGAGGTCCTTCACTCCCAGGCGGAGTGAGGGACCGTCCGCTGAATTGCCGCCGAATACCTGGAACTGCCGCCCCTGTCCGGAACGGCCGCCCCAAGCACCTGCTTGAGAAGCTGGTGCCTGGAGCCGGCCCTGGGCTAGGGACACCAGCCCTACCCATCCTGGCTAATAGCCTTTGATGGACCTATCCTCCATGAATTTATCTAATTCTTTTTTGAACCCTGTCATAGTCTTGACCTTCACAACATCCTCTAGCAAAAAGTTCCACAGATTGACTGTGTGTTGTGTGAAGTAATACTTCCTTTTGTTTTAAACCTGCTGTCTATTAATTTCATTTGGTGACCCCTAGTTATTATGTTATGAGAAGCAGTACATAATACTTCCTTATTTACTTTCTCCACAGCAGTCATGATTTTATAGACCTCTATCATATCCCCCCTTAGTCGTCGCTTTTCCAAGCTGAAAAGTCCCAATCTTATTAATCTCTCCTCATATGGCAGCCGTTCCATATCACTAAAAATTTTTGTTGCCCTTTTCTGAACCTTTCACTGAATACATTTTTCATAATCAAAAATTCAGTACATAATGTGCTGAAATTTAAGTCAGTTGCTGGGACAGTTGTTTTGTTTTTATAGCAGAAAAATAAAGTCTGAGACCTGTTTATGAAAAGCTCAGGAAAAAGCTGTGATACTTTCTAAATAAAAAAATTATTTGGAATGAACTGTAGAAAATGCTGCATGACCATGCATCCCCCACTGCCTCTGCACCCATCTCATCCCAAATGGGGAGCACAGTGTGGGAGGAAGAAGGGCTTGTGGATCCAGCAAGTTGCAGACCCACTGACCTGATGTTAATACTCAGATGCCACTGTGTGGCAGGGTCCACAGAAATCCCCTGTGGAGTACAGCTCTCTGGCATGTAGGGAAGGCAGATCGCCACATAGGCTCCCTGCGTCCCATCCCCCAATGCAGCACAGTGGAACCAAACTAGTTCTGCTGTGGACCCTCCAATCTGCTGAAGAGGGACAGGGGTTTACCGCTAACACACCAGTGATCAGTGAATCAATTACTATATTTTTATAGTAATACAGAAATACAATTTTATCTGTAGAATAAACACAAGCCAATGACAAACTTGTGTCTCCTTTGATAAAACACAATCAGTTTTCTTCCAGCTGCAACTGTTCTGAAACTGAGCCCTTCAATCAAAACTTGTGTTAGGATTTCAATCATACTGCAACCTCAAGATTCAAACACTGCAAAAAATGCAACCATTACAATTTACAGGGCTATTCTATGGTTCTATAAGATATTAAAAATGAACTGGTTACCTTAAATCTCTGCCAAAGGGTTTGAAAAAGTATTCTAAAGTAATGCATGTAAAAGGTGATAAAAATACCTTTTTTTGGCCCACAAAATCCACCACGTGGGAAAACTTGTAGGTTTCATAATTTATTTTTGTACTTTCATAACTGTCATTGGACAAAGAAAAGCCAACTATGGCATCAAAAGAGGAACAGGTCATAATTTGTATCAGATGGAAGACTCCTATATATGCACAGCCTCACAGTTTGACTGTAGCTTAACATACTTAATTGTAATGGTTTGTGTCTCTTCTGTTCTTACCAGAGTGTAGCTTCCTCTAAAAATTGACTATTGAAGTTGCACTGTAGGGTTTCATGTATGTTTCCCAAGGAATTCTGTATCAAATTAACACACTGTTGTTGGGAGTTTTTTTGTTTGTTCTTTTTTTGCTTTAGTAAAAAGATTTTTGAATCAGCAACTCTGCAAGGGCTTTGACAGCCAAGTAGCATATCTTTTGGTGTTGACATTTGCAATTATAAAAACTCTGCAATTAGAACTTAGTAAATAATTGCCTTGATGTATGAGCCATATCAGAATCTAGCTCACTGTTCCATAGTTGTGTTGGCGCTGCATGAATAAAAAATAATAAAAGTTTAACTGTTGTCATTGATGTGCAACCTTCTATGGACTATGTCTTCCTATGTGCTTGTATGCCACCTAACACAAATCAGTACAGCCCTGTGCGGATACAAAATTTGTATCCGCATCCAATCTGCAATCATGGTCCATGGATATAAAACGACTATCTGCAGATTTGCGGGGCTCTACAAATCAGTCCCTGTTCCTAGCTGGGGCCCTTCAGCAGACAATATAAATAAACAACATCAATGTCATAATTAGATGTGACCCAACACAAGGTATGTTACTTAAGAAGGTGCAGAATTTTTAAGAATTTAAAAAGTATTGCATGCCAGTGTCACTTTTCTTCCCATAAACACTTTAAAAAGTACACAAGTATTTTCCTATGCACTAGGGAACCTTGCATCATATATGGAGAAAAGGCCAGTAACAAATTACAGCAGTAAACTATCATTCTCCATGCCCACCACTGTGGTCAGCAACTTCTGACTGAAGAATTCCTCAGTCCCTTTTCTAGGAGAATCAATACTATTTGTTAGTTGAAATAGTATTATTTCAGAGTGATTACTGCTGAGATGGGAGTTTGTCCTCCACAAGCTGAGCAGCATTCTGCCTCCACACAGTACATTCACACTTGGAAGGAAAGCGAAGGGACAATGACAGACCTTCTGTGTTACCTATTTGTCTTTCCAGGTCTGCTGCTTCATCTGGTGTTGCACGTGGGAGGACTCCAGGATCACTGAAACTAGTACGCAGCAGGGTCCCCATCACGAAAAAGAACAGAATCCCACCTATTGCAGGAATAGCAGGTGTAATCTTCTCTGACAAATATGGACAACTACAAGGGAGGGGGAAAAAGAAATAATTGTTAAATTACTAATGTCAAATAGTGCAGTACATGTTCTTAGAAACTATTAAGTCACTTGCCATTAAAGATCTATCTAGGTTAAGATTTTACATTGTATTAAGTCTAGATTTCTTTGCAGTGGAATGTTACTTTTAATAAATCTGAAAGGTGGCTTTAAAAAGCCACACCTATCACTATCCCCTAGTACTGGTTTAATATAATAAAGACTCAAAGAGCATAACAACCACCGCATTGTTAAGTAATATTCCCTTATTACACATAAAACAATGGGAAATTTTTTAAAAGTGAGGAGCTAACACATAGGAAGAAATTCAATGAATTCTATAAAATGAATTATACTCCACTGTTAGAGGAAATGCACAAGGACGTACATAAATGGCACATGCTTCCTTTATCCCCCTTGGGAGGTATCAGTGTTATGAAAATAGAATGTGGTGCCTCAAGCTTTTGTTTTCTCTCTCATTCCATTCTTTGTAATTTATTCTGTAAGCTTGTTTATTTGCTTTAAAAATAAAAGGAGTGCAATAACAGTGCAACACACATGGAAATGAACAACCAAGGTGGTCCACGGCAATGACAGCCCTTTTTCAGAACAGTAGAGCATTTATTGTTACCAGACTTAAAAAATGATTACTGGGCTGCAAGGCTATAAAGCACACAGATTTTTTTTTTTAAATTATTCCACTCAGAAAAATCATCATAGATGGAAGCACTGGAACCTAATTTAACTCACAATCATGGTTGTAAGTGAAACGAGAGCAACCATTTTCAGTTGTACTTAGACACTGTACAGTATAAAACTCCGTCTAATCTCAGAATAACACTAGGTATTGATGGATCATCCTGGTATATGCATGGACTTAAATAATCCAAGCAGTGTGTTATAGAACAGGGAAAGTCAAAATCCCAGCCCATTTGATGTATTTATATTCACAATTTAAGCTTTAGTTTAAACCAACAATAAACTGAAAAGCAAATTTCTAGCCCAGGTCATGGTTGACAGTATAACCTTCCAGATCTGAACCAAGTGTAACCAGCATTGCCTTCCCTAGTCTGCAGATGATCGAAAACAATGACAATGCAATCGGGATATGTAGTGTAGACATACCAGAACTAGCTTTGATTGAGCTAGCTTGCTAAAAATAGCAGAGTAGCCACAGTGCCATGGGCTTGCCAGCTAGCTTGATCAAAGTTAACTTGGACATGCCTGCGTGTGCTGCAACTGTCCCCCTCTCCCCATGAACCTCACTGGGATACTAACTGCAACGCTAAACAATGACAACATTAAATATTTCCATGGCTGATCACTTTAGCAGAGGGAATGGGGAAACGGTAGAAATAATAATTAAAAGTTCAGTTACTGTATAAAGACCATATTTCGCCCTGTCCAAAGCTCAGGGTGAGAGTTCAGATGTGGATGAACAATATGTAGTCCTAAATTTTTACTCTAGCCCATGGCACGTAATTCTATTAACAATGGAATATGGCCCTTTGACACACAGAATGAGACACCGCTGTTATAGTAGCATGTTAGGGAAGGAAAGTTAAAGTACCAACAAAAAAATTGACTTGGTTGAAAGAATAGTCCTAAAAGATCTAATACAATTTAAATAACTGCAGATGAACTTCACAAAGTTTAAGAAATCAGTTCTTAACTTGTTTAATATATCAGAAAAGCCAGTCAAAACCAACAACCTACAAGTATCTTTTATACAAATCTGAAACTATTATAGTGATCAATATATGTCTTGTGCATGCAGAATTATTAAAAATCAACCCACTGCATTGGACTCTGAAACAACAGTGCAAGTCGGCTCTAAGGATATATTTTGAAGTGAATTATTGGGAACATGAGACCTTACTATTACAATAATAATCAATATTAAATAAAGCACTGTACATTATTTTTGGTTGCATTATTCATATCAGACTCCAAAGAAACGGGAACTATAAGTCTGTAGGTCACATAAGTGCTGGAAGGTAACTTGAGATATACCTGTGGAACAGTAAAAAGCTATAAAAATTTTGGACAAATGCCAAAGCAGCACTGCTGACAATGTTTAGATATAGACTTCATCCAGTATCACCACTCATTCTAGGAATGATACTTTAAGCATCCATTTTTAATGGTCACCATAAAATATGTAATCATTTGTTATGTGCTAAGATTAGCATTCCATGATATTGATGGGAAAAAATCCAACTTCCCACATCAAAAGATTAAAAGACCAAAGAGGCAATACACTGTATGACAAATGAAAAAATTATCTAACAAAAATATTAAAATCTCTTGATAAATATCTAGCTGAAACACAATCAAACTCTGAAGAAAATCAGACCCATCAAAATTTGAAGATACTGTTTCACTCCTTACAAGAGAAAGGGCTTGTCTAAAAACTTAAAACTTGGGTCTGTCAGACGATTAAAACAATAATCGTAATTAATCACGTGATTAAAAAAACAGTCATAATCACAATTTTAATTAATAGAATATTGGTTAAAGAATAATAGAATACCACTTTAAATTTATTTTAAATATTATTGGATGTTTTTCTACATTTTCAAATATATTGATTTCAGTAACAACATAGAATACAAAGTATATGGTGCTCACTTTATTTTTTATTACAAATATTTGGACTGTAAAAAAGATAAAAGAAATAGTATTTTTCAATTCACCTCATACAAGTACTGTAATGCAATCTCTTTATGGTGAAAGTGCAACTTACAAAAGTAGAATTTTTTTTTTTTTTTTTTTTTACTTGGAGGAAATGAATTTGTTAATACTTGTAAGACACGTTGAAGAATCAAAGCACTACAAAAATGCTACTTAGTAATAACCTGGAACCAACTGCTCTGATGTTCTATGAAAGGGACACCATCAATTTAAAAAATCATTTCTACCTGGGAATTTGATCCCTATTAGATCAATTAATGTGACCTCCTGTATAAGACAAGTCATAGAATTTCACCCATTTACCCCTGTATTGAGCCCAATAACACATGTCTGACTACAGCATATCTTCCAGGAAGCCCAAGTAATTCCTCAAAATTACTGTAAATGAATTAGAAAAACAGTATTTATTTTTCCCCCCACTGTGTTTACTGTCTCCACTTGACAGAACTTGGTGGAGTCAGTTTCACTCAGTTGCACTTCCTATCTCATTTTGTAGCTGTGCCAGATAGGGCAACTTCCTGCAATACGTCTGGGAGATCATATCGTATTAAGTGCATGAATGGTTTTTATACCCTTGCAGGCCAGGGATTGTGTGCACTCCACAGGATTAACACAGCAGCTCCAGGAAGTGAAAATAGTAAGGGATGATTAAAGCAAATTATTCAGATTATAACACCTCCACAGAGGACCAACTCCTGGGAAAGCTCACATATTCTGGTTCAAACTGGATTCTACAGAGACCAGAAAAACAACCCAATCTTAAACTTACTTTGGGACTTTGTTCTGATTCCTTTAGACTAAAAACTGGTATCAACTCGAACCACGAGGAAACCCAATTGTGGGGTTTGAAGGACTGACATTGTCACTTGAGGGTGATGACTGGTTAGCTTTTTAGCGTGCATGTAGGTTCTTTTATTGTTTTTATATGCTCTCTCTGAAATTCTTTCACCTTCAGAATAAATGTGTTTGCTTAGAAGAAGCTCTCTGGTAACTTGTAACTGCTGGCAATATACTGTTCATAGCTCTTGAAAAGCCAAGCATAGGAAATGCCTTTTAGGCAGACTGGCTTGCTGGGGATAGCACAGTGTAGATCAGGGAGCTGTGCAGTCTCAAAAACCCCAGTCAGAAGGGAGTGAGACACTGATCTCCACCCAAGAGAGGTGACAGCTTGAAGCCAGAAACATTTAAGTGGGTGCCCTTGTAGGACCACGGAGGGGAAAAATACAAGTGCAGTTACCTTGAAACTGTGACACTAGCATGATGATAATCACAGATTGCACACTGCTTTAGAGGAAGAGCTCTTATATATACTCTGCTCTAGGTTCTGTAAGAGGGTGTTCTCTGCTAACGGAAGTAGCAAAGCTGACACTGAAGAAACAGCAGGCAGACACATGCAGAGAGAGGAAGAAAATAAAAGACCTAAGTTTGTCTAGTATGATTATTCTCAGCCTGCCCAGGTGGCAGTTTTAAACAGCAAAGGAGCAGGAAAAAAATCCCCACACAAACAAAAACTTTGTACTTTTTTTATATAAAGGAATTTTTTAAAAGTCATTCTAGGACATATAATTTCAATGAGGTTTCATAAAAAAAGTATATATTTGAAACTGATCGTTTTTTAAAAATTCAAAGCTGATAATGACCCTCTAAATGCATTTGTGCTGCTACGTAAAGCTCAACATACATTAAAAACAGTTTAGTTGTTTTTAGAACTGGTCAAATACTACCAAACATTTCCCCAGTTGTTCAAATTTTTGAATCCACTTGCTTTAGCTTCACTTGCATTCCCTGGTATGTTCACTTTCCTCACACAATTTGGCTAGAGCTGTACTAGTAAGTGATTTTTTATATTTTTGGTAGTTGTGGAAAAAAATTGGTTTTCAGTCAACCTGAAATCAAGATTTTTTGAATGTTCAGTGAATTAAAAAGGCAGAAAAGTTTCATTTTGAGTCAAACTCGTTTAATTCAACCTAAAATTTACAATTTTGGGCATTTTAACCAATTTTAAAAATAAAAGCAAAGGGAATTTGCAAATGAGGGGCTTGATCACAAAACAGGAAAGAAAGGAGATGTTGGCAGTATGCACTCCCTCCCTCCCACCACTCAACAGCTCAGTGATTAGGGCATTCACCTGGGACGTTGGAGGGAGACCAAGGTTTGAATCTCCACTCTTGACTTGACCCCAGGTCTCCCACCTCCCAGGTGAGTGCCCTAACCACTGGGCACAACCACCATTACCATTTTGTGAATGATGCTTCAGTAGCTCGAAAAATTACGTTTAGTTTGAAAATGTCAA